TTTATGTTGCACTTGGCCTACTAACTATTGGCCTAGAATCATAATGAATGGATTAAAAGGGCACTTATTGCCTTCAAGAATGGCCAAGGTGGTGTTAAGTGTTAACCACTTTAGGACTTTCAGGTACGTCAACTGAGGTGACTTTGGCCAAATTACACTAGTTTCTGCCGATTCAAATTCCTACAAAATAGGAATGAGGCATTGCTGAGGATTGTAAATTTGTAAATATATTACTGAAAGGTTCTTCTTTGAATATGTCATGTCTAAATTATGTCACTTTTATTGCTTAATAATTTTTTTTTTAAATTAGCTGGGTGGCTGATGTCACCCTGCGATGGGCTGACTTTGGCCACATGTGTTAAAACACAGTAAAAACATAGTAAAATGATTTTTAGGCCAAATTCAACCATTAGCGGGGTGACATCGGCCACGTAGGGTGTTTTAAAAAATGATAATCAATGCCACTGTGTAGTGTGTACCTATTATAAAAATTGTAACACAAATATAAAACCCACATTTGTGAATCATATGCTTCATTAAGGCTGCTTTCTGTCGATTTCAATGGCAGCTGGATGTGAAAGTTTGAAAAAATCTAGTCCCTATGGGATCTTGAGCATTCTTCAAAAAACCAATGATGCTTGATAGAGGTGTGACCCTTGAACTTACGTAAAGTGCGACCCTGTTTGTCAAGGTAATTTTTAACCAAAAAACGCAGATCCATACCATCTAATGGGAAACCCCAGTCTGAAAGCAGAATAATGTAGGATACTAAATCTGACTCCTCTGTAGGTGAATGAGTATATAGACTGTATTAAATTTTTCGCATGACAGCCAGCACATCGGTCGCTCAAAGTTGAACAAGGGACTTTGCAAATATTAGCAGCTTCTCTTAAGCTAAACACCATTTTTTATCAATTGCAATGCTTTCTTAAATGACTCCTCATAATATATCCTATATGGCACAGAATCTAATTTATGTTTGTAGCCATGCATATTGTCTGAAAAAAAAAGAAAAATCTGTTATTCTAAACATTAATTGGCTGGCCGAAGTCACCCCATTTAGCCCATATGCTATGGGGTGACTTTGGCCAGCTAATTTTTCAAGCATATATATTACATTTGGTAAAAAATGTACCGTAAAATGGGGTTACTTTGACCGGCGGGGTAACTTTGACCACTTTTTGTTTTTTTAACAAAAACCCCCAAAACTCAAAAACGATTTGACATAGAAAAATTTTGTTGATGGCCATCAAAGGCCTAATACTGAGGCTACGTAACACAATAGAAAGATTTA